AGTATGAATCCGAAACGTAGAGCGGACAAAGCCAAGTGTCCACGTTCCGAATATCAAGTAATAGCTTAAGGCTCTGTTAAGACTGCTTTACAAGTCGGATAATAAGTCCGGCCTGAACAGGGGAAACAAAAATTGGGACTAACCAATTTTTCCAGGACGACGGAAGATTGCAATAGCATGAGAGGAGTCACGGTGGGGTGCGGTTTATCCGGCTCAGCAGACATTCGCGAAAATATGATTGGAGCCACAGCCTCTGTCAACGCCACGATTAATGAAAGTGTCTCCTTTATCCACGAGCTGGCAAAAGTAGACGGCAGCGTGTTGAGTGTCAGTCGGACACTGGCCTCCGTAGACAGCGAAAGGGCATCGCGAAGAATTTCGTTTAGCAAAACGGCCTTCATTGCTATGTCAATGCAATCGAAGGGTGTTGAGCTTGGCGGAGGAAAACAGCAAGGGATAAAGACAAGGCGCTTGTAGCTCGTTTTTTTTCGGTAAAGCTTTCTTGTTAGGCCGCCTAAGGGCAAAAGTTCCTCCTCCCCCACCCAGGTTTCCTGCAGAATTCGTGGTTAAAGGGGAATTAAAGGGCTAGGCAAAGCAGGAGCTATATAGGTGCGTGATAATTGCGCAAAATAAAAGAAATAAAAGCCGCTCTTAATTGCTTTACTTAACTAAAAATGCAGACGAAAGGGTTGTGGAAAGGACAAAAGAGACTGAAAAGAAAGCCTATAGACCAATAAATCTATTAAAACAACACCTATTGGTTAACATAATCAATGGAATGTTTGGATAGGCGGAAATGCAATCTATTGAAAAGGTTAAAGTCGACTTTTTTTATTAGCAATCACAGAGAAAAGCGGCTTCACAAGAAAGCCCTACCGCTTTTTTTCTTTTTACTGGCAGAAACTGAAGACTGGGAGAACCTATATTTTCTGGAGTACGGCGTGTGCTCATACGCTTTTAAATAAGAAAGGTTAGTTGAGTTTGGTCATACTAGCAGCAACTATTGAATGCAAGAGTACGCCCGTTCCAGCAGCATGTCATGCAGGCTTTGGATTTATATCCTCCTCAACGCATGTCAATCTAACTCACACAAAAATAACTACGACGCATTCATGACAAGGCCGATATACAACGGGCTCTACAAACAATAGAAACACCGACTGATCGGTTCAGCTGCCCGTTCCGTATAACCTTTGAAACCAGAGCGTGAAATTTGGAGAAACAAAATTCCGTATGGCCAGAAGACGGTCTTCAGAGGGGTGCGTTGGGCCAACTAGACGGCACGAACCATTTAATGCCAGTCGTGAGAGCCCGGTGGCACGGAGCATGCCGTACAAGACAAGGTTAGCTCCCCTCTGCTACAACACCTTAGCCAACTGTGGCTTGGCTGATGGTGGTTGTCTGTTCGTGACCCCTTTCACGTGTAAGAAGTTGATTTTTTACGCCAATTCCTGGACTGAAAAAGTAGAGTGACGACAAAGAAAAGGAATAGAGTGGGGTGGAAACCATTGCTGGCTGGTAGCCGTTATCATTCAGTCTCACCGAATCCCAGGTTGGTAGAACGCCAGAGTTCAAAGCCCAAATTCTTTGAGATCTACTAAGCCCAAAGTTCTATCACCGGGCCTGTCCGACGCAATCGGGAGCATTAACAGCGGTTTGAAGGCGTGCAACGACCAGATTACAGGAAATATGTGTCTACGTGCGCCATGGGACCTAGTCCAGAAACCTTGTAGGCAGTCAATGTGTAACGGGACGAAAAATATGTTTCTAATCTACTCATTTTCGATTGAGGCCGGAGAAAATATCAGGATGCTCACTGATCAAAAAGGGCGCGGGTTCGAACCTCGGGTGCTCCAAACACAGGGGGTCGCGGGCATGACTGGCTGACTAGCGACTGCTAATAAGTCAGAAATGATCATTTTAGTCTCCCTTATCTTTGCCGGCAAGTTTTAGCTGCCTACACTACTATCCGCTGTGCGGCAGCTGGCGGAGCTCGAGAATGAGTTCCGTTAGCGATCTGTGAACGTCCATCAGTTAGTGTCAATGGCGACAATGGCTTATAAGCCAAAAAGCGCCATTCCATAATATTTCGTGCTACTGTCAGTACGTCTACTCCTGCATAATTACTTCTGGATATTCGACTTTCTAAGGGGTCTGCATATTGAGCCCTAAGGCGCAACCGGAGCCTTTTTAACTCCGAAAATAACTGCTCCGAGTCATGTACTACACCACACACATGCATACGCGTAAACTTAGTACACCAGCAAACTTCGATGCCAGCAAATACACCCCCCTTCCCCACAGCAGACGCGTCTTTGACCGCGTTCCCA